GCCGCTCACCGATCTTCTGAATCACGATGCTGAGTGGGCCTGGACTCCAGCGCAGTCATCTGCCTTCACTGATGTCAAGAAGTTACTGTCGTCAGCTCCAACACTCGCCTTCTTTGATATGAGGAAGCCTGTCACTGTAAGCGCCGATGCAAGCAGCTACGGACTGGGAGGAGTTCTCCTCCAGGAAGACCGGGGTGATTTTCAGCCAGTGGCCTACTGTTCCAGAACTTTATCTAGGGCGGAGAAGAACTACGCTCAGATTGAAAAGGAACTGTTGGCGGCCACCTGGGCGTGCGAAAAGTTCGATCGCTACCTCATCGGTCTGCCGTCATTCACACTGCTCACCGACCACAAGCCCATTGTGCCTCTGATCAACTCTAAAGAACTGAATGGTGCACCTGTCCGCTGCCAACGAATGCTGATGAGGATGATGCGCTACAGCGGAAAGGCAGTATACACCCAAGGGAAAAACATGACTGTCGCAGACTCCTTGTCCCGAAGTCCAGTAGTGAGCACCGAGCCTGAAGAATTTGGTGAAGAAATCGAGGCTCATGTCGCTACAATCCAGATGTCATGGGATGCCACGGATAGCAAACTTGACGAAATCAGAAACAAGTCTCAACAGGATCCAGCGATCAGTGCTGCGATACAGTACACTAAAAGCGGTTGGCCGAAATTCATACAAAACGTCAAGTCCGAAACTCGCGACCTCTACGCAGTTTCCAGTGAACTGAGCGAAGTCCATGGACTACTCGTCAGAGGTAACCGCATCGTAATCCCCAAGGCAATGCGAGGAGAGATGCTCAGCAGGATCCACGACGGTCACCTTGGAGTGTCGAAGTGTCGAGAACGGGCCAAATCTTCCATTTGGTGGCCTGGTCTCAGCTCCGAGATACGGGAAGTCGTCTCAAAATGCGAACATTGCCAGCGGAAACGTCCAGCACAACCAAGCGAACCTCTAACCACGACAGCTCTACCTGAGCGGCCGTTCCAGATGGTTGGTGCTGACCTCTGCAACTACAAGGGACATAACTACCTGGTACTCGTGGACTACTTTTCACGGTACTTGGAGGTGGCCTACATGCCAGACACCACCTCAGAGACTGTCGTGTACAAACTGAAAAACGTCTTCGCTCGGTTTGGCATTCCAGAACTACTGGTGACTGACAACGGTCCTCAGTTTGTGTCAGACCGTTTCCACAAGTTCGCCAAGGGCTGGGGATTTAAACACACGACCAGCAGTCCTCATTTTCCCCAGAGCAACGGCGGGTCGGAGAGAGCAGTCGAGGAAGCGAAGAAAGCCCTGAGTCAGGACGACCCATTTCTCGCACTCCTGATCTACAGGTCTACACCGGTGTCACCGACGAGGGCGAGCCCAGCGGAACTTGCTCTTGGGCGACGCCTGAGGACGACCCTGCCAACTCTACCGTCAAACCTGAACCAGCAGGTCTACGACAGGGCGAAGATTGCAGCCAGAGACGCTGAGTCGAAGCGTAAGTACAAACAAGCTTTTGACAGACGTCACGGAGCCCAGAACCTCCCGGAGCTGAATCCTGGTCAGCTCGTCCTGCAGAAGCTGGAGAACGACAAGGAGTGGCGTGGCCCTGCGGTTGTCAAAGAACGGTGTGCACCGAGGTCTTACATCATACAGTCTGGGGATAGGGCTTACCGCCGGAACCGCAAACACCTGAAGCCCTAAGTCGACCCTCCTTCCATGCCTTCTTCACCTGTTGCCACCCCAGAGCCTACTCCAATGTCCGTTCCTTTACCTCCGCCACCAGCTGTCCAGCCGGTGGAGCCTGATGTCACACCACCATCACCTCAGCCAGCAGCCGTTCCAGCCAGCCCAGCTCCAATAACCACACGAAGTGGACGAGTGGTCAGGAGACCCGCTCGTTACCCGGACTGATGTTCTTGCGACCCAGTCGTATCCTTTCGATGACAAATTTTACTTTGTGTTTATTCTTTGCTGATTACCCAACAGTTGTGTAGATTTACCTGTTCGAAGTAATTTATTTTCTCAAGTTCGTTATCGGGACGCTATACTGTTCTATGAATGTGACAAAGACAATTTGAAATGTGGATATTATGAAATACCAAAGAACTTTATTGAAATGTGTTACAAAGTTCTCAAGTGCAAGCCCGGAAGCTTCAAAGACAATTGAACTCTGTGTGTGAATTTTGTTAAAGTTAGAACATTCCCCTTTGAGAGACTCGAAGCCGATAATCTTTAATCCATTTTGGGGTTTTCCTTTTTCTTCAATATTAAAAGGGGAGATGTCACGGTAGTCACCGTATTGTACCTTACTCTTTTTTACTCACGGGACGTAAGCGCCCTGTATGCCATGGGCTCTTGGTTAATGTTACTCACTTCGGGGATCTATAAAAAGTCAGACACTACACCCGGTCTCATTACATTATTAGAATGCTTGCTGTCGTGTGTGTTCGTCTCTAGTTTTGCTGTCGTGTGTGTAGACTAACATTACACAACAATCAGATCTGAACCGCCTTCTCCCTACCCACAGGTGTGCTATGTCTCTCATCTACTACGGTATCAGCTTCGGAGTGTCCAGCTTTTCTGGCAATTTCTACGCGAACCTCATCATATTGAGCGTTCTGGAAGTACCGATGTTGCCTGTCACCTTCTGGCTCATGAACAAGTATACCCTGGGGGGTCGGAAGTGTTTGAAGGGAGTGGGGGGGACATAAACATTGCCTTCACACTACTGCAAATTGTTTACCAAACGTTTCCTGTTCTTCTTATCGATCTGTTTAACACAGCACTTTTAAAACACATTTAATCTACATATTTCTATGATTAACGGTAGCATTTGACAATTATAGATTAGCCATCTGTTTCTAAAGAAAAAGTATATTCGAAGCTGTTGTTTATTTGTCGTGTTTTATGCCCTCACCAACACAATTTACGTCAACAACAGCTATGCATTTTTGGTTTCTTTTCTTCTTTTTTTATGTCATAAGCATGAAATAGCCTAAAGATAAAGTCGCACTCAAGAGAACAATAACCTTACGTCTCTTTTCTTAACGTGTGAGAAAGCAATTTGAACATAATATTAAATTTCTAAAATACTATTATGAATATGCATGTCATATTAAAATTAATGTTAACTTACGTTTGACATTGATTAATTATTAATGAATTTGATACCAAAGATTGTTGAACGTATTATCAAACATATGAGTGATATTGATTTGTCTGTCACCCTGTAGTACATTTCCAAAAGGTCACTTCACAACCCATATTAATTCATCTTTTTTTTTCTTTTTTTTTTTTTAGAATTTCTGCTTATTTGCAACTTATCTGTCTGTTACTACATTTGCCAAGTCTGTATCTACGTCTTTCAACTTTCAACTTATCCTGGGCTTGAAAAGAAACAAGTAATTTTCACTCACGTTTTGTAACGTCTACTGAACTAACCAAATGTGTTGTCTGCAGAATTGGCCGGCGCTGGACGTCCGCACTGTTGTTTGCTTTAGCCTGTGGGTCCGCTGTTGGGTGTCTGGTGGCGGAGCTCACTGGTCAGTTGTATTGAGATTTGGTCTCTTTTAAACACAAGGGGGCTATCCCGAAAAATGTTGTTTTGAGAAAATCAAAGGTAAAGTTTTTGCTCCTTTTTCAGTTTCTTTAAAAGACAAGGAGTGTTTTCTCTATAACTAAACAAATATACACACCAATGACACCAAACTTCTCTTATAGGTAGGACAATGCTCACTTTTGGTGTAAGTCAAGATTTCTGGAAACCCCCGAAATCTGGGTTAGCCCGCTTGTCCGGAAAAGGGACCATTTGTTTGTTGTTTTGTTTGTTCGTTGTGGGGTAGTTTTGTATGTTTGTTTTTTGGTGATGTTGTTTTGTATGTTTGTTTATTTGGTGGGGTGGTATTTTGTATGTTTGTTTGCTTTTTTTGCTGTTCATTTCTTTCTGTGTTAGACTGGCGCCGTTTATTTACAAGTGTAGTTCATTAATTCGAGGGTGCAATACTAGGTCCACTAGGTAGAAAAGGTAAAAGAGAGGGACTGGAAGGAAAGAAGGATGGGACAATACAACTGAGAAAATAATGCTTCGCGTATTATTATACAGCCGGACATGTCGGTTCAAAGTTGTTGTTCCACTTGTGTCCAGACTGTACCTCGTGCCGGTTTACTGTGGCTCTGTGTGCCTACCTTTGACCCCCTTGTGCAAGTGTTTGAGGAGGAAGGAGGGGGGGGGGGGATTGCGCATGTTCTTTGCGCATTGTATAATATTATAAATGTGTTTTTTTGCCATGCTTCACTGAATTTAGGGTATTAATCGTATCTCGCCCCCCCCCCCACCCCCACCCCATTTTCTTCAACCACCCCGTACACCCATAATTTTATCGTCAACCCTTTTTGTTTTACTGTTTTGAGTGGGAAGGAATGGGACTGCTGACGCAGAACAGCAAAACGTCACAGGCCACTATATAACTAACCTGTTTTGCTGCCTTTCACCCCACTGACCATAAGTGTCGGTTTTGACTAAAATGACGTCAGCGTTTCTCCGTATTCCTGTCCCATCAAGTCCAGCTAATTTCTTTCGGTGGAAATAAATCTCACCTTATCTTATCTTAGCTTCGCTCCACGTCACTGCGATGCAAGCACTGCTACAGAATCTGTGCTTCAAGCACAGGAATAATTAGCAATGAAAGAAACTGCATGAAGACAACCTTGAGACAATCTTAAGCTAAATTGACCGTCTGCATAGACGAAAAAAGCTATACATTATAGTATCTAATCTTAATATTGTGGGGTTATGCGAAACACTACGAGTACGATCGCATTGACCTCACAAGGACAAGGGACGTCACTGTCCGCGAGAGTGACACAGTGAGTAAAAATCAAGACCGAGAGGCGAGCAGTTCAACTCACGACAACTCAAGAGGTAGGTCTTAGCTTTATTTAAGCGCTACCCCTACATTGGTGACCCCGAAACTTGGAACGGATTTCCAAAATAACATTCAACATGGGCGAGGAAAACAAAGCGGTGTTTGCAGTTTCATTAAAGCTGCCAACATTCTGGACTACAAACCCCGAAGCTTGGTTTGCTCAAGCGGAGGCACAATTTGCCATCTGCTGTGTTACAGTGGACGACACGAAATGTTACCACGTGGTGGCTAGCCTTGACAGTCAAACAGCAACACGTGCTCTATCTGTCCTTGTTTCACCACCGCAGGAACGCAAGTATGAGACTATTAAGACCTTCCTTTTATCTGCTTTTGGCAAATCTGAATCTAAAAGAGCCCACCTCCTTCTTAACATTCAGGGACTTGGTGACCGCAAACCATCGGAGCTAATGGACTCTAAGCTAGCTCTTCTTGGGCCCCATAGCCCATGTTTCCTATTCAGACACCTGTTCTTACAACAACTGCCTGAACATGTGAGAACACCTCTGGCAGCGTCACACACTGTTGATTACAGGCTACTGGCACAGGAAGCGGACAGACTTTACCTGTCCGTCATTCCAAACTCCACCTCAGTGCTAGAGGTAAACATCGCTTCAACACAGCCATCACCCTCTGGATCTAGAGCTAGACCTAGCGGTGGTCAAACCTCACAAGTGTGCTGGTACCACAATCGTTATGGAGAACAGGCACGCAAATGCATCCAACCATGCACACATCCTGCCCCCAAACCTCGTTCCTTTCCAACTGCTAACAAGAACCACGGAAACGCCAGGCAGGGTCAGCAGTAGTCTCTCAAGCTTCTGCTGGCCCATGCTCCCCACAACTGGTTATGACTGACAACATCACAGGACGTCGTTTCTTGGTTGACACAGGTGCACAGGTATCAGTCATTCACGCAACACAGTTGGACAAACACACTGGTACCTGCGGACCTCCACTCCTCGCCGCAAACGGCTCTAACATTGCTACTTATGGTATGCGTATCATACAAATTAGGACCAAGGATCGAGTCTTCACAGCAAGATTTGTGGTAGCAGATGTGAAACGGCCATTACTCGGCGCAGACTTCCTCCGCCGAGACAACCTCCTTGTCGATGTGCGTGGCCAGCAGGTCATCAATGCTGACTCGTTGGCCATCTACCCTTGCAGCACCCATCGAGTAGCGAATGCATCGATACAAGAGCTCGTTCCTGTTGCTCCGCAGAGCAACAAGTTCATGAAAGTGCTCTCCGAGTTTCCCCAAATCCTCCAACCCACTTTTTCATCTTCAGAGGTGAAACATGGCGTCCATCATCATGTGCCTACTACTGCCCCCCCCCCCCCCTATCCATGCTAAAGCACGTCGTCTAGCACCTGACAAACAAGCCACTGCAAAAGAGGAATTCAAGAAGATGGAAGACATGGGAGTGATTCGACAATCTAGCAGCCCGTGGGCATCTCCTTTGCACATGGTCCCTAAAAATAGTGGAGAGTGGAGACCATGAGGGGATTTTAGTCGCCTCAACGACAGGACGATAGCAGACCGGTACCCCATTCCTCACATCCAGGATTTCTCGGCTGGGCTGAAAGGGAAAACTATCTTCTCCAAGATTGACCTCATTAGGGGATACCATCAGATACTCATGGCCCCAGAGGACATAAAAAACAGCAATCATCACTCCATTCGGCCTTTACGAATTTCTACGCATGCCTTTTGGTCTCAAGAATGCTGCACAAGCATTTCAGCGCTTGATGGACTCTCTGCTCCAAGATCTCAAATGTGCTTTCAACTACATAGACGACATCCTTGTCGCTAGCGACTCAGAAGCCCAACATTTGAAAGATCTTCACGCTGTTTGTGAAAGATTGCGTGAGGCTGGTCTTGTGGTAAGACTGGAGAAATGTGTTTTTGGAGTCCCGGAGATTGACTTCTTAGGTCACCACATCACTCCATTAGGATCTACACCTCTCCCCTCCAAGATTAAAGTAATTGAGGATTTTCCCCCTCCTCAAACAGTGAAAGGGTTACAAGAGTACTTAGGGATGGTAAACTTCTATCATCGGTTTATTCCCCATGCAGCAGAGGTCCAACGCCCCCTGTACGATGCTTTAAAGAACTTTTCAAAGTCCACTCAGGTCCAGTGGTCGGAAGAAATGAGCACTGCCTTCCAGACTAGCAAGGCAGCACTGGCAGAGGCAGCCATGCTTGCCCACCCGAACACCGACGTGCCCATCGCACTCTCATGTGATGCATCGGAACAAGCCGTTGGCGCGGTTTTCGAACAATTTGTGGATGGGTCGTGGCAACCCTTAGCTTTCTTCAGTCGACGCTTACGTCCTGCAGAGAAGAAGTACAGCGCTTTTGACAGAGAACTGCTCAGCATCTATCTCTCCATTCGTCATTTCCGGTTCCTGCTTGAGGGTCGATTATTCTTTGTCTTCACTGACCACAAGCCCCTGACTTTCTCGATGTCAAAAGTCACAGAACCCTGGTCTGGTCGACAACAGAGGCAACTGTCCTTCATCTTTCAGTTCACAACAGACCTCAGGCATATTTCGGGTAAAGACAATGTCACCGCTGACTGCCTTTCACGCTCTATCTCCAATGTGTCGGTAGGCGTAGACTACTCGGCAATGGCAACTTCTCAGGCCGCAAGTGAGGAAGTTCAGGCCTATCGCACAGCCATCACAAATCTCCGTCTGGTTTATATTGCTGTAGAACCAACCGGTCCTCAACTGTTGTGTGACATCTCCACAGGGAAACCACGCCCAGTGGTGCCGCCAGACTTCCGACTTCAAGTTTTTGACATCATACACAGCCTTTCACATTCAGGGACAAGAGCTACAGCACGACTTGTGTCCCAGATGTTCGTGTGGCATGGTTTGAAGTAACAAGATAGACAATGGGTAAGAGAGTGTTTGGATTGCCAACGATCCAAAGTACACACACACGTCGACGCCCCACTTGAGAAGATTCCAACACCAAAGAAAAGATTCAGTCACATACACGTGGACATTGTCGGACCTCTCCCTTCTTCCCAGGGATACATTTATCTGTTTACAATCATTGACCGCAGCTCACGCTGGCCAGAAGTGATACCACTACAAAACACGTCTACTGTCACTTGTGCACATCCGCTCATCAGTGTATGGATAGCCCGTTTTGGCATCCCAACAGACAATACTTCCGACAGGGGTTCTCAATTCACGTCTGCCCTCTGGACGGAAATTATGGAAAGACTCGGGACTAAGATCCATCGAACGACTTCCTATCATCCACAGTCGAACGGAATCGTCGAGAGATTCCATAGGACTCTTAAATCCTCACTCATGGCTCGACTGCATAGTCCCAACTGGATGGAACAACTACCATGGGTCATGCTGGGCTTAAGAACTGTTCCTAAGGAGGACATCGGAACTTCAGTGGCTGAGTTAATGTACGGAGAACCTCTCACAATTCCAGGAGAAATGATTGCTGCCACCGCCACCCCTTTCTGTGCCACTGAACAGCTAAATGATTTCCGTGGCCAGGCCCAATCATTCCTACCCACTCCAACTTCACGACACTGCCAGCCTCCAAACAAGGTGCCAAGCACTTTGACAACAGCAAAGTATGTCTTTGTCAGATGCGACGCCTCTCAACGTCTCTTACAACGTCCATACACTGGACCATACGTCGTAACCGCTCGGAACAGCAAGACTTTCCACATACTCGTGGGAAATAGGACAGAAACGATTTCGATTGATCCCCTGAAACCGGCCCACGTAGAAACGTCGCAACCAGTCCTAATCGCTCACCCACCGAAACTTGGACGGCCCAGAACTATTACAACAAACAATCCTGCTCCTCCACCTCCACCTTCTTCATCTCAGCAGCCTCATCTTACGGCTTCCAAGAGCTCCAAGTCCGGACGTCAACTTCGTCCACCTAGGAGGTTTATGTGAGGACAATACTGATGGGGGGTTGTGTGGGGTTATGCAAAACACTACGAGTACGATCGCATTGACCTCACAAGGACAAGGGACGGCACTCTCCGCGAGAGTGACACAGTGAGTAAAAATCAAGACCGAGATGCGAGCAGTTCAACTCACGACAACTCAAGAGGTAGGTCTTAGCTTTATTTAAGCGCTATCCCTACAATATCTTATTATCAAATTGTGTTTGATACTGGAGTCATTTAAATTATTCGCTGTTTAAAATTGCCACAAAGCTTACAGGTTCAGTCTTTCCCCCGCCTCCCCTCAGGTTCTCCCGACCGGGGTTTGATCCTCAACGCCCTGTGTACATCGGCCAAAGTGATGGTCAGCTGTGGCTGGTGTTCTATACAGACCTGGGGGGCGGAGCTCTACCCAACGGTCACTAGGTGAGACGGACAGTGAGGCCTTTGGAAATACCTCTCCGTGAATGTTAAGGCCTAATTATTCTGAGTTTTATATTGGTATAGTTTGGTTGTGAGCTAATTATTCTGAGATTTATTTTCGTATAGTTTTGTCTCCCTTGGTTTAGCTCAGTTCAGCTTTTAATTTAATTTAACATGCAAGTTGTTTTTAGTTTTGTTTAATCTTGAGTTAAGTTTAGGTCAATTCACCGCTCTGTTTAGTTTGGTTTTCTTTAGTTTAGACAAAGTTATATTAGTTGGTTAACTAACAGATTAGTTTAGTTTAGGATAATGTAGTTTTCTGGTTTTAAGTTTAGTGTTGGTTAGATCATTTATTTCTTAATTTTTGTAAAGAGAAAAAACACATTGTCACGATCACGCATACAATGTTATGCTAAAAAGATAAAACAATATAGATACACTAAAGCAAGGGACGGAGAAAACAGAAGTAGAACCTGCGAGTGGCATCTGCCAAAAAAAACCCAAAGGAAGTCAAGATCATATCCCAATGTTTTGTGTCATGTTCTAGTGTCGTAGTCGGAAACATGTATTCACGTGTTTGTTCGTTTCTTTTTTGTCTAGAGCTTTTACGCTCCCATCGACACTGTTTAGATAATTGAATTGGTGGACTTTGTCCGGACTGAAAGGAACAGAACGTGCAAGCAGAAAGACAAAGATACTCAATTAAAAAATTATAAAATTAAACTCAGGTCCTTTGCGTGTAATAGCAAAGTACCTAAACGCTACACTACAAAGGCCGCTGTGAGTGGCAAAAACAATTAAATGTCTTATAAAATAACAACTATAAGATGTATTTCACGCATTAAATTATAAAATAACAACTATAAGATGTATTTCACGCATTAAATTATAAAATAACAACTATAAGATGTATTTCACGCATTAAATTATAAAATAACAACTATAAGATGTATTTCACGCATTAAATTATAAAATAACAACTATAAGATGTATTTCACGCATTAAATTATAAAATAACAACTATAAGATGTATTTCACGCATTAAATTATAAAATAACAACTATAAGATTATTTCACGCATTAAATTATAAAATAACAACTATAAGATTATTTCACGCATTAAATTATAAAAACGTTTAACCTGTTCTTTTTTCTCTTATGTTTTCTTTTCATGTCAGGTCCACTTAGCAGCTTCTTGCAAACAATATTGTACAATGGGATATAATATAGATGTGGCTTTTGTGAACATGTTGTGTAAACACTAAAGTACAGTGTATGCACCAGTTTAATGTGTATACCCTAGTGTGTTGTGTAAACTATAGCGTGTTGAGCAAACATAAGTGTGCTGTGTGTTGCAGGAATCTCGGCTACGGGGCCCACAACACAGCCGCCCGTGTCGGGGGAATGCTTGCTCCTTTTGTCATCAATTTTGTAAGTCACGTTGATCAAAGCAGACACATTTCAAATGACCCTGCATTAAAAATTACGTGTATTTCTTCCGTCTTTTCTCATGTGAGACGGGAGAAACCTTCAGAAAATAAACTTTCAGACTGAAAGAAATTGAAGAATTTTTAAAGAAAGTGTCTCGAGGTCAGTTATATAAGGGCTACATTAGTAACAGTTGGTCCAATTTCTTTTTTCACATTTGTTGTTTCTGTTAAATGTTGCCCCTGGACTTAAGAATTTGAACAGACATAAAAGCCTAGAACTAGAACATCTTTCTGTTACCGGGAAAATGGTAGGAAAACGTTGTTTATTGTTTTGTTGTTGTTTTTTCATAGTTTTTTAAAGATCGCATGATTTAGACATGCATTAGTTTGTTGAGACCGTACTCCATTTAAACGTGTCTGTAGATCGAATCCTCATTTGACTGTTATTCTCTCTGCTCTGTGCAGGACGACATGAAGGTGGTCTCCTACGTCATCATAGCCGTGCTGTGTTTCCTCGTGGTGGTGACCACATTCGTCCTGCCTGAGACCAAGGGCAAGAGTTTGGCGGACAGTCTCAAATCCTACACGTCAGGAGCTCCGGGAGGGAAAGGTGAGGGTGACTGTGAGAAGTCTCCTAACGACATCAGCATCATCAGCGGCAAGGACGTGGAGATGAACAACGTCTTAGATTTTAAATCTCACAATGACAATGGTGCTGCAAAAGCGCGTGATGAGGATAGAAAGCCGCCAGTGGGTATGGACAGAGAATTTGAGAAAGGGAAGCAAACAACGAATGGAAACGGGAGGTTTAATGATGGTGGGAACACGGAGACAGATTCTGTTGTCGCCCGACTGTAAAGCAGGCACGACGTGTAACATCATCCCCTCCCCCACCACCCCTGCCCATTCTTCATCTACGAGACAATAATAATAGATAGTCTTTGTATAGCGCGAATTCCCGCTCAACAGCAAGCAGCTATATGCGCTTTGCAATCTGTATTATTACCCCAGAAGACCTAATAGCATGTATAAACAATCTCAACTTCCTGGGAAGCATACAGTGCAAGTTGCAACTTTAAAGGCACTCAGACACTAACATATCTTTCGCTGTCTATAGCCAGGTAGTCATTCCCACCAGGGTGAAATGAGGGAAGTGCCTTTCTCAGGGACACAACGTCGGGCTTGAGGCTCGAATCTCTGAACGCGCAATCTCACGATTACAACAGACTAGATGAAACTAGTAAATTTCTGAGGGTTGCTGGAGGACATTAGTTGTAGGTCCTTCTCCTTTGTCATCCCTCTGCTGTTTCTCTACTTTCGTCTAGGTTTTCCAATGGGCAAATCATCCACACTACTTCTTTTTTTCCTGGGTATTTGTTTTACGGCGCTCGCAACTGCATAAGGTCATATGAGCGCACGGGACACATTAAATATCTTCAGTTGGTAGGAATTTTTTAATTTTGCCAGGGTGGCGGCAGAAGCCTAAATTTTGGACCATCAAGAGAGGTGCCACTTGCGCACGGGCCCTCCGAGATTTTTCAGCCTTATCCGAGCGGGCCAGGAGTTGGATCTTACGTACCATAAGATCAGGGGTGTGGCTGAAAGACAAGAAGTGCAGTAGAATGGCTGAAGAAAGAGTCGGGAGCCCAGAGGAGGGGGGAAAAGTAGGTGAGGGGTGATTGCAGAAAGTGGAGACGAAAGCAGTCAACAGAACATTGTTAAAGAGTTGGACAGGAGGTGAAAAGAGAACATTTTAGAGAATAAAATGTTCTGCCGTTATCCAGATTCGAACCCTGGACCTATTGAATGAGAGGCAAACACCGTAACCTCTCGACCACGAGAGCCCTCTTCACTACTTCAAACTTTAAAGGTTGGAAGTCTGGGTACACACGAAATCATATTATGATTCTGCATTTAACAGAAGGAGCTTTGAAGATTAAGAATTGAGTAGATATGCTGGATTTGACGAAATAGAAACATCGTACCCTATTCATGATAATACATTGTGAATGTAATATGTGTATATAACATGAAGTTAAACTATTTTTGTGGTATGTACCGGAGAAACCTTTTACATAATAAAATTTGCATAAACATGATGACGACAAGTGTTCATGGGTTATTTTACAATGTCTGCTAAAACGTCATGAATTTATGTGTGCATAAAGGACAATAAATTAATGAATTGATTATCTTCAGTGTCAGTGTGTCATCAGTTTCTCAAGCATTGCAGTTTGAATACACAATGAAACTTAATGTACTTTATTAAGAGGTCAGAAGGTAAGTGGAAGATAGGACATCTTTTGACAACGCTATAAAGCTGATGATCTGTGAAAATGTCGCTCGCACGTTTCATGAGAGGAGTCGCTGACTCGTGGAGCTGAGTTACAAAGTCATCCTGACCTTGGAAATTATTTTCCAGACAGGGTGAGCCTACAGTATAGAGTAATAAATTATGACTGTCGATTAATTCTGAGAGCGAGGTGGGCGTCTTCAGTGACAGTGGGTGACGGGTACTGGCAACATCTTTCAAAATAAGAACAAAAGAAAAGCAAAAACAAAACTATGTCAGTACACTGTCAGTTTGGCTGGTTGCTGAAGACTATTGTAGCAACACGCACGATGTTACTTTTTTGCACTAGGACCCTGCCCAGAACAATATGCTGTTAATTATACACGGCTTCTTGTTGACTGGGATGTATGTAAATCTTCACAGTCTGCATACTGTTTAAGATTGCCGCAACTTTAGACTGAGCGTGCAATTCTGAGTATCACGTACAGTTACACAAATTTCGTAATTCTTTGACCCACCCCCCCCCCCCCCCCCCCCCCCCAAAAAAAGCAAAAGGCATAAAACGAAACAATAACATACACGACGGTCTTTTTAGTCAATTTACAAGCTTTGAGATCAAGGCACGAAAACGCGAATACAAGGAAACTGAATTCAACGAAACATGGGCTTTATTTACTTTACATTTACTTGTTCTTTCTCTGTTGTCGTTAAGCGTCTAGTGGAGAAGCAGTTTTCTACGGTAGGCCAGCTCTGCAGCTCTTTCAAAAAGTATTTATAAATTCTCAGGGTTTCCCTGACTCCCTCAATCCACCTTTTGTGTGGTCTACCTCTTCCTAAGTATTTGGTGTTATAGGCTCTCCAGGCTGGCTGGCTTGGTAACATTCGTAACAGGTGACCAGACCATTCATTTATTCTATTTTTAAATGAAACTCAGGCAGGACTTAGTGTCAATAGTCACTCTTAGTTCTCTATTTCTCTGCCTGTCTCTTCTTGTGAGGTTTTGCGGAGACATTTCATAATTAACATTAAACAAAATAATTCTGGATTCAAGGGGAAGGTTCTTCAATAGCCTTGACGGCTACGGTATGAAAACCGATTCCCAAAAGAGTTGGAAATTGGAAATTAGTACAAGATAACTTTCAACTCATGTGATTGAGTTTTTCGATGAATTATACTCTCCCGTTCTATAGAGGATTATCATTTGTCAAGATTAGATAACAAATTCTACGCAATAGATGATAGTTATTAGACTAGACGCAGAGGTTGGCGGGGGGATTAAGGTTTGTTATTTTATTGTCCTGTTTAGGTGGACAATGGTGCATCTCACAGCAAGCAAATAACATAAAAACCAGATTCCCCAGGGAGCCACTGACGTTTATAGTTGCTTTACGACACAAAAATCAAAAGAGATGATTTCATCATAAATTTTATTTTTCCTTCTATAACTTATATTACAAATGCTATACCAATCAGGTGTCTATTTAGTTTTTAAAATATGACAAATGTTTACACACAAATTACTGGACCTTCGTACTTGCTGCTCCACAATAAACTGCTTCCTAAACCTATGCAATGATCTTGTTCCTTAGAGTAGAAATATTGTATTTTAAAGTGTACATCTCATTGCAACCGCTATATAAATATAAAAGCGTCAGTTGATTATAAAAATATGCCGGCTGAAAAATGTATGTTTTCAAGTGTAAATTTTCTTTTTCAAAAACGTTTTAGGCTACGTATAACTTCCATATAAAGACGTCTCGTCAGCCATAAATGAACGCTGCCCCATTGCAGGCAATCCAGTTAATGCGGAGTTCAAAGGGCAGCAGACCTCCGAGAGTGACCCTCACATCGAACCCTTCATTCGTCTCATTCGTGGCTTCCACCGTACAGTTTTTCAAGCCCTGGGGAAAGAGAGAGAAAAAATCACAATCTATAGATTGGAATCTTTAATTGCATATCATAAATTCCCACTCAACAGCAAGCTAAATGCGCTTTACAATCTATATTATTACCCCAGCAAAACTGACAGCATTCTGAAACAATCTCAACTTCCTGGGAAACAAAGTGCAAGCTGCCATTGTGAAGGCGTTAAAACACGATCATGCTGACAAAACCTTAAGCTATCTATGGCAGGGTACTCATTCCCACATGGGTGAAGTAAGGAAAATTAATGTAACGGACACAATGTCGAAACTCCGAACAATGTCGAAACTCCGAACCCGCAACCTCACGTTTTACGAGTCCGGTAGCCTAACATCTAAACTACTGACGCCACAGTAGGTCCTTTGTGCCAGATGAGCACGTTAAAGATCCCTTGGTAGTCCTAAAATCGATTAGAGTAGGCTTCGGCCGCCACCCGAGCAAATTCAAAATTAATTCCTACTAAACTGAAATTGTTTAATGTTTCCCTTCGCTGAGCTTATGCAGTGGTGAGCGCCGTAAAACACTTTCCAAAAAGTATAATATTACTCTTATTCTTATTCTTATTCTTATCATAGTACTATGTTGTTGTTGTTGTTGTTGTTGTTGTTGTTGCTGTTATTGTTGTTGTTGTTGTCGTTGTTGTTGTTGTTGTTGTTGCTGCTGTTGTTATTGTTGTTTTTGCAGCTGTTGATGTTGTTGTTGTTGTTGTTGTTGTTGTTGTTGTTGTTGCTGATGCTACTCTCGTTGCAATCCCGTACCAGGTCAAAGATACCGGAGAGTCCGGCGCTGACCACAGGTGCGTCTTTGAACTTCCTCTGGTACTTGACCGGGATGTCCACGGAGACCAGCGAGCCCGTGAAGAAGGTGAAGAAGTTGCAGAACGGGTAGATGACGTTCTCGTCACAGATGTTGGCCTCCAGGTTCCCCGTCTCGCAGCCCAGTTTCTCCAGCGTGTTCACGCGTGACTCCAGGGCTCGGAGCTGAGAGAAAACTTGGGAGAGGGAGACATTTTTGTTTTTGTAAAGTGTTTTATGGTGCTCGCAACTGCATAAGGTCATATGAGGGCGCTGGACACTCCTAATATTTTCAGTCGGTAGGAAATTTTGAATTTTTCCCGGGTGGCGCCGAAGCCTACTCTTATCGATTTTAGACCACCAAGGGATCTTTAACGTGCGCAACTGGCACACGGGCCCTCCGAGATTTTTCGCCCTTGTCCGAGAAGGCTAGGTGTAGATCTTTCCTACCAGAAGATCAGGGGTGTTGCTGAAAGACAGCAGTAAGAAGAAGCGAAGGAGTAGCAGTAGAAAGGCTGCAGAAAGAATCAGGAGCCCAGAGGAAGGGGCAAAGGGGGTGAGGGGGTGGGGGCAGAAAGTGGAGACGAAAGCAGACAACAGAACATTGCTAGAGAGCAGGAAATGAGATGAAAGGAGACAAATTTAGAGAAGAAAATGTTTCGGTCGCTACCCGGAATCGAACCCGGGACTTTTTTAATGAGAGGCCAACACCTTAACTTCTAGGCCACGAGAGCCCCCCACAGGGAGACAGAAGCAAAATATTGTTGGGTTTTGTTTTCTTTATTTGTCTGTTGTGAAAAGGGGGGGGGGTGGGGGTATTTATTCTTTTTGTACTGAGGACGAATGTAACAAAAGCAAAATACATGTTTATTTTTGTTATTTATTTGTTTTGTATTTTGGTTGTTTGTTTCTTGGTTGGTTGTTGTTGTGGGGGTTTTTTGTGATTTTTTGGGCGGTTGTTTTTTTTGTTGTTTTTTTTTTTATAATTCTAGTTGCACTGAGGAGTGCAAGTGGGGAGAGGGTGAGAGAAGCACAATTATAATGTTTAGGTTTTCTTCGTTTATTCCTTTTTTACTGTTCTGGTTATACTGATAGGAGTCTGTCGCTGTACTAGACTCAGATTTGTAACTTGGAAGGTGAGCACCATGTTTTGGGGGTTTGGACGGGGGGGTTTTTTACTGCTCCGTTAAAAAAAAAATTTATTCAATGAAATCGTTAACTAATTTATTCATGGACATGTTTCAAAAAGGAGTCTTCATCTTTAGATAAGTAGGCCTATAAGGGTAATAATAATTAGATCTCTAATACTCAATCCCCAGTTGGGCTCTAGACGCTTTGCATCAAAATCTTTAGTAGAATTAAAAGGTAATCTTCAAAACTGTCTCTAAAAAAAGGGGGGTTTAACCGACATTACCCAAACCATAAACAAACCAAAAAAAACACCCAAAAAAAACCCACAGTAGTACAAACATAACGCTGAGAAAGAATGAAATCTGACTGTCTGGATTTTCACTGTGGCCCGCAGACGACATAGAGTTCGATTCCCCATTGAGATTTTTTTTAAAGACTTCTTCGTCTACCTTCTGTCTGCTTGAATTCTGCACCACACTCAGAATGTATTAAACCCAGACAATCAGGAGCACAGTAACCGGGCCCCTGTATGATCTAATTTGTGTCGAACGTGGCGTGAAAGATTACAATTTTAATATCTTTTGTTGTTTTTTTACCAAACCTACCGCTGTACGGGGGTCTGTAGTAGTCTCTCCTGGCGGGAAAGAACCCGCTAACAACGGTGACCGCACCAAGAGCTACTGACAGCAACGCGAAAACGGATGCAGAGTTCATGCTTGCAGATCAAGGGTTAAGCTGGGGTCGCCACCTGTGAGATGGGAAACTTAAAAATTAAAAGAAAAAATTATTCCAGTACAAAGCAGCAAGAAAATGTAGGAAACCCCCACTCTTGTTTGTGGAGAATAGATAGATAGATAGATAGATAGATAGATAGATAGATAGATAGATAGATAGATAGATAGATAGATAGATAGACAGATAGACAGATAGATAGATAGAGTGAGGGAGTGAGTGAGTGAGTGAGTGAGTGAGTGAGTGAGTGAGTGAGTGAGTGAGTGAGTGTGTGAGCGAGAAAGAAAGAGATATGGAGAAAGAACGTGGGTCTCTCTCTTTGTCTCTGTCTCTGTCTCTGTCTCTCTCTTTCTCTGTCTCTCTCTCTCTCTCTCTCTCTCTCTCTCTCTCTCTCTCTCTCCAGCATCTGTGGCTATCCGCCTCGTGTACCTGACGGTACAGGGAGAGAGTAAGTATATAAGTAAGTATCATGGTGAAATCAGGCGCTCGTCAAAATTAAAAATGAAAAGGAAGATATGGGTATTTTTCTGTGCTTTAGATTCTTTCGAATTCTATATTTTTGGCTCAACACTTTTCACGTCCTTTAAAAAATGCTTTTCTATGTGGCTGTTACAGAAAAACGTTTTCATTAAAGGCAAAAAATAGTAAATTTTCTGTTTCCAACAACCCTTACGCGTGGGAAGCCATCAAACTTTGGCAGCCATTTTCTTGCTAATTTTACCCCTAAAACAGGTGACCCCCAATTTCCTACAATCCAAAAATATCTCGACTTCTAATGAAAATAAATGGGTAATTATCTTGTCGAACGCAATGAGTAGGCTTTAACATGATACCAATATTTCTATAATGTGCCCAACATTCAGTTGACGAGCGCCTGATTCTACCACGTCGTAACACAAATATAGAATAATGTCGCTGCTGCCGCTAGCATTCCACTTGGATCCCAATTCTAAAATTTTAAAAATGTTTACATCATCTCAAAGCTCTATTAAAGATGCACCTTTCAGCATCACCAAAATGCAGTTTGAGGCTATGGTCAAGGCTAACATACAATTTTCTGGCTTTTTATGATTCTTGATAGGAACATTATAACAACAACTTGGGGTGTTGTTGTTGGTGGTGGTGGTAGTGGTGATGATGGTGATGTTGTTGTTGTTGTTGTTGTTGTTGTTGTTGTTGTTGTTGTTGTTGTTGTTGTTGTTTTTATACTTCTGACGTAAAAAGTGCACAAACAGGCCTAAGTAGATTTCTTGCGGCACCCACGATGTTTATGCTTTATAGAGTTTACCCAGAATGAGCAATACTTACTCTGATCAAGGACAGCGTTCAATGACAAATGTCTTGAAACGGAGCATGCTTTTATACGTAAGATAATCCTCTTCCCTCTGTGGGTACAGATAAATTTTGAAATAATACGCTACTGAGATGTCAGGCGAGTCGGTAGATCGTTTTTGCCTCCGGCTACACGAGACGAAACTGTTTTGTACGTAAATAACTCTGGCTTGGTGGGAGATGGGGAAAGAAGGGGTGGGGATATGGTGGTGTACTTTTATCTACAAACTCCGTGAACTCTGATAAACATTCCAGGTCAAGATTAATACAAAGCTTTGGGGGACAATGTAACAGAATATAACTACTTTGTCTTATTTTAGAACACCCAGTGGTATCTTGTTCTCTCAAATATAAAGTTCCTCTTTAAATCGTCAGTCGATTAAATGTAGGTTTCACTCGACTTTGTGTTTTAGAAAAAGATTCATTCAGTCTATCTGAGAAATTCTTTAAAAACTGAACATTCAATTTCCCTCAAAATTTTACAATCCCGTGAATTTTAAGCAAGAGATCAACGGGGGAAAAAACTTAACATGGCCCAACTTATAAAGCGGCGTCTGGAGTGCAGTACTTAGTCACTTCGCCGTTGCACTCAAAGGACTTTAGTTTGATTCCCACGGTGGATGGAATGTGGGGGGGGGGGTCTATTTCATTGATTTAATTATCCCCATCTCTTTGCAGTAATGTTTCTCCTACTATTCCAAAGTTGGCCCTTGATAGCGGGCTTAAATTAGCCTGCCTCCTAAATTTTAATGATCTACATTGGGCCAGAGGTGTGAAGAACATAATATCATAATCATAATTAATCATCAGCCTCCATCTGGAGCAACATAGAAGCGTTCAGTGTCTGAGTCTGCAGCAAAACGTGACGTTCGTAAAGTCTTTCTAATCAGTAAAGAAACTGTGAGAGCGAGAGAGCGTTAACGCTCTAAAAAGGAGCATACAGCAATAAATGTGTTTACCTATACTGTTCCAACTAGATGTTAGAAGCATCTCACTCGTAAATGATCTAAACAGTATCGATGGTGACGGAAAACTTTCACAATTACATTATTTTGTTCTACCTCCAACATCGAATGTGTTTTCCTCATAAACCTTGCATGTGTTGAAATGGCTTGTTCTTCACCTTTTGACTCAAAAGCCTTGAGTCTGATTCGCAAATTATGAGAAAATCTTTTTCTCAAATATTTCCATTTTTATGTTAGGCTACTGTATCCCTCATAGTCTGTATTTGGCCTTGGGAGACAAGCTCTATGAAGTCCACCTCCTTACTGATCTAAATTGTGTTGACGTAAACTATTTACCCTCGAACTCATACAACTGCTCCTGTACCTTTTATTTACTCGTCCTTATCAATATTAATTCTTTCAACAATAACAAAGTAAGACGGCAAAACACTATTCCCGTTATTCGCGTGGAGTCACTGATTGCATTCATTCGATTGAATAAAAATAGTGTTCGAAAGGAACAAAACCGAAATTAACAATTACACGTAAGCTTGATGACTGAGTGAGCACAGACCTGTATGTCATCCTCGAAGCAGCAACTGTTGTGACCTACTGTATTACCCGCCTGATTTAATTGGTTGTCCAAGCATATCTCGCATCATTTGACAATAAAGTTTTGAAAGGTAAATGGACACAAGTTTTTGGAGCGGGTCGGAACCCAACTGAATTTCAGACAGTTTTATTGGACCAGTGAGTTTGACTTAGCTCCAGGTCATTTAAATGAAAAGGGAAATACTGAGGACGTGATCTTTGTTTTGTGTCTTTTAGCAAGCGTTTTACGTAAAACGCAATTGGGTCATTTAAGGGACAAAGCGTAGAGGCGTCACAAGAGGGTATCAAACACAAAAAAGAAGGAGGAGAGATAAGAACAACATTTTCTATTTGATAAGAAAAGAGGAGCAAACCACACCAGAGCACCTGTCAGCCATCCACGGCGTAATGAGACGCGAGAATCATTATCTGAAGCTTACGTGCTTTCATTATTTGAAGAATATGTGCCATGATTACTATATACATGTTGATACAATCGATTTATGTGCGTCGTGATGCTGGGATATAGCACATCAGAAAATTGCAGCACATAAGGAAATTAATTTGAGCATATGTTTTCACTCACAAGCTCTCTTTCCTCATCCTTTTCTTTCAGGATTGATGCTTTTCTTTTCCTGTGTACGTCTGTTCATTTGATTTTGCTACTGTTACTACTACTACTACTACTACTACTACTACTACTATTACTACTACTACTACTACTACTACTACTACTACTACTACTACTACTACTACTA